CTGATGCAGATGTTGCTGTTGCTGCAAATGCAACTGCTGTTGGCCGGCAATGCCCAGCTGACCGGCCGCAGCCGCCGCCGCCGCCGCCGCCGCCGCGTTGAGGTCGTGTATCGTTGCCGCAGGTATGTTGCCGGCGTGCCCGTTCGGGCCCTGGCCCGCGCACACGTTGATCGTGCCGGGGGCGACGCCGGGGGGGCCTTGCGCGGACTGACGGGGCAGAAGCCCCCCGGCCTCCATACAGCCCCCTAAATCCACCGCAGAATAAGCCAGCTCTCAATGGAGAGTCGCCGTAGTAGTAGGGTAGTCGACGTTGCTAACGATGACGCGCGATGCCGGTGCGACCACGTCGTCGTCGTCGTCATCCACCAGCACCCTCGCCGCCCGCGAGTCGAGCATCATCCGCGTTCACTCCGGCACACCGACGAGATCTAGCCTGACTTCCGGCCGTTAGCACGCATCTGGCTACGTATACATATATCGCGCACGTGGGCCGCCCGAAGCGCCACTGGACTTGACCGCGGTCAAGATCGAGGGTTTTCTCCTTTTCCCCCTCTTTTCTTCTTTGCTGTCTATCTTCGTCTCTTTTGTTCTCTCTCTTTTTGTTTCTCGAGGTCACTTCTCTTCTCGTTTGGAGCACGAAGCACTGCGAGTCGACGCTCGATGCTGTACCGTAGCAATTGTCTCTGTTTATTTCTCTGCCTCCCTTCCTCCTCGAAATAATCCGGAAAGTTCCAGACGAGAACTTGTTGCTACAGGAGAGAGGCTAGAGAGAAGTTCTCTTACCTCACGGCGATCGTGCGCTACGAGAAAGACACCGGCGAAATCGCTTCCACCGCGTAACGCGATGCCATCGACGCGCGCGCTAGGTCGTCAATGGACACGCTTTTTGACCGCGGTACACGTGACTGCGCGCGCGATGCAGCACGCGTCGTGGAACGCGAGTCGAAATATGCGCACCTTTCTCTCCGGCCCGACACGCGTTTCGAAACGATAACGATTGTCACGCGGCGCGGTGAGTCTCGATTGTGTGTATACGTGGATCCTCGCGTTTACATCGGGGCGCGTGCCGCGTCCTTTAACGGATCTCACGGTCGAACGAAAAACAAACGTGTCATCCTCGAATCACCGACGAATCTTGGACGTTTCTGCACGCGAGAGACGATCGTCGACGTCGGCCTCAGAGTCCGATGTCTGCGGCACAGCTCGCTCGAGAGATATCGGCCGTCTTTTTCGGGTCACGGGTTCGCAACTGTCACTCTCGACCAACGCGCGCGCAACAGAGGATTCGACGACGACGACGGTGGGACGGAAGGTTCGCCGCGCGCGACTAAGTTCTCGATAAGAGCGCAGAGTCCTTTCTCTCGCTCGCTCCTTCTCTCTTCGCCTCGCCGACACGGCACACTCGCACACTCTCCCTCTCGCTCGCTCTTGCTCTCCACCCCGCTTCCTCGCCCGCTGCTCTCGCCGCGAAGTAGACGTTGGCGCGGGAGAGGGAGAGCTCGCGCGACACGAGCCTTTCGCGGCTTCACAATCGGGGGGTCTCCTTCCTCGCGAACGTGTTGACTGTCGCGCTTTGCGAAAACAGTCTCGGCACGCGTCTCGCGTTACAAAGATTCGTACCGGTGATCTTCGACGATCGGTCGTAGGGGACGCACTGAGAAAACACAGCGGCACACGACGCTAAATATCCGATTTGCCCAGTGCGTGGAGCGCGTTGGACGTCACAACAGGTAGTTGAGCGAGGGCAGCGTGCTGCCGCTTGTCCGGAGAAAGAGAAGAAAAGAGAGCGGGTGGGAGCGAGAGGTCGTCAAACGGCACCGCTGCGCGGGAGTGAGACGCCGGCCAACGGACGGAATGAGAGGGAAGCGCTCGACGGCGAAGGAAGAACGGCGGAGGGAAAGGGGCGAGGAGGAGGAGGAGGAGGAGGAGGAGGCGTGCGCGTGAGCAAGCGAAGGAGAGAAAGGAAGAGAAAGAGAGGACTGAAACCGAGAGGGCACGAGGGGGACAGTAGCAGGGAGAGGGAGACGAAAGAGTGATTCCAGTGTTCAGCCGGAATCCCTACGCGCACTCGCCGCAGCCGTTTCAAGTTTGACGCGCGCGCGAGGAATGATCGCGGACGCGTCTCTCTGCCAGTCTTCTGCTCACGCGTCTCCACGATGTCCTTACCTCTTCTCGTGTCTTCTCACACACACGTACACGCACATACACAATGGTTCTCGTTCTCTTCTTCGCTGTTCTTCTCACTCGCAGCTCACACGTACAGCGCGCGTCTTCGCACTTTCCACGACCGACGCTTCGATTTCGAGACGAAAGATGCTGCGTTCATCCGCGGATAAATTCACTTGGTTGTTTTCGAGTCGTTTTCAAGCGCGTTCTACAAGTTTCACGATAGCCACGTAGGATCGTCGGTTTCTGGAAGGAGAGATAGAGGATGAATACCGTTGGCCGTCCCCGTCATGCACGGCGCACGGATGCTCGTTCACTGGCACACGCTCGACCCGACCCGCACGACCGTCGCGGTGAATCACATGTCATCGAGCGTTGGCATCGAACGCGCCGCGCCAGCGATCTCACACCACAAACAATTACATAACCTCACTTTTCGCGTGTCGCGCACACACGCACGCGCGCGGGCGCCTCTTCACCACGGCGCGGCGTCGTCGTGAAGATTGTCTCTCGGCCCGTGCTTCCTCTGTCCTTTCCTCCGTTACTTTGGCGCGGGTGCTCGCGCGCGATCGCACCCAGCCAACGAAAACAAAGCGCGTGAAACCGCTCGTGGACGTTCCCGGGTGAACGCGCGGTGCCATTAACAGACTGCGCGTAGCTACGGAAGCGTATACCGTTCAAACCGCGAACCGTAATTACAGTCGCCGCGACTTCGCCGCATCTGCCGGCGACAGGCGCAACCGTCTAGAGTGCGACTACCTATCGACATCGTCCAACGTGGCGACATCGCACGGCGGATGACGGAACCTGCTGCCGGCATTACTGATGATAATTTTGCGACTCTTTCGCAAACAGATCTCCGCAGGGCATTCTCTCTGAAGCATTCTGAGAATGACATTCTGAGACATCCCCAGGATATCCTCAGGACATCTCCTGGATATCTTGTGCTGTTTGAGAGAGTTTGGTACTTACACACGTGTAAATTATTATACTCTCTCTATGACTTCTATTAATAAATGTTACTTGAAATACCTCTTCCCATACAGCACAGATCTTGCAGCAACATTACGACAATACTGCTGCAACTTTTAACATTGCTGCAACGTTGCAATAATATTGCTGCAAGATCTGTGCTGTATGAGTTAAGTGAGAAATACTCAGATTTTAATTCAAAATTAGATAAAAATTTTTCAGTTGAGTCGCAATTACAGATGTAATGTCGCGTATATTACATAATTCAACTGAAAAGTTTTGATCTTATTCTTAATAAAAATCTGAATATATCTCACGTGAGACAAGAGAGAGAGAGAGAGAGAGAGAGAGAGAGAGAGAGAGAGAGAGAGAGAGAGAGAGAGAGAAAGAGAGAGAGAGAGAGAAGTTCCAGTGACAACTATTAATACAAGCTTATATTATGTGGAGACAATGTAAACTATGCTTGAAACATCACTATGTAAATCAGAGCTCGGAATTAGTTGCCCATTTCGGCCGATTCTTAGGAGCTACGCTTTCTATTTTCCCCTTGCCGCAAGCGGGCCACGAAAGTGACGGTCGAGCCTCCAAGCTTGAAGCCGCGACTGGTCGCGATCGTCATTTTCAAGGCCCGCTTGCGGCAAGGGAAAGATAGAAGACGTAGCTCCCGAGAATTGGCTGAAATGGGCAACTAATTCTGAGCTCTGATGTAAATAATGAATATCTATTTGGGAAGAAATGTTTATATGTAATCATGCTTATATATGTAAATATATGCTTATATATAATTATATATGAATTTTTCCCATATATGTGACCTTATATATAACCATATCTAATTACATATGTGCATATATAAAACAAATGAAATGTTGAATGAAAAAAGAACATAATTTGATTTAATTAAACGTCGACATCATAGGCTACCTCAAACATAAGTATTTATTTCAATTGTATCTTCACAACAACATACTTTTCATATATGAACAAGACAATCTTTCAAAGACATCCCAAAAACACCTCTATGAAAACCTAATATGAAAGCCTCTAACCCCTTGTCCACAATCTTGCTTTAATCTTTAAACCGTAAGAAATTGACCAACCACAGTCGATTATTTTAAAAATAATCAATTGTAGTTGGTCAATATCTTACGGCTTAAAGATTAAAGCAAGGTTATAGACAAGGGATAAATGCCCTCATAAGTCTTCAGGATATTTCTTGAAGATATGTCTTGCTGTCTGAGTCCTAAGTTGATCAGTCATAAGTTACAATTGTTTTACAACAACTACTAAGTTAAAATATTGCAGAGATAACTCCAATGAGATAGAGAGAGAGAGAGAGAGAGAGAAAGAGAGAGAGAGAGAGAGAGAGAGAGAGAGAGAGAGAGAATATAATAGAGCTTATATTGAAATAAACTGATCAAAATCAATAATACAATAATATCAGTACTTTGATTTTAAAATAACTGCTTTGGAATTGCTATATGTGGATAATGATAAATCATAAAATTCTACTCAAATACCTCGATAATATCAGTCGAATAAACACTGGTAGTCTTAATGAAATCGAGGACGAATTCAGACAATGTCGATAACGTAAAGACGATCATTATTGACACAATCACGCTATCCTTCTCGTATTTCTAAGTCAAGATACTTGCCTTGAAGTTCTTGTGCTATTTAGCGACGTAAACTTTACAAAAAATGTCAGTATTCTGTAACGGAAAAGTTTCCAACTTCAACATCCCTTTAAGTACTTTATTGTTCTCACAGATGTCGGTAAAATTGCCTGTTGATAGGAAACACGTTACCAACGCTGCCGCGTTCTTTTATCTTTATCGCTCCTTAGATATACAACAAGTAGTCTGTTCTTTTCGGCTGCACTGCTGAACTGGTGCAATAAGTTAGAATGAGAAAAAATATACTTGTCTCACTCTTACTTATTGCACCAGTTCAGCAGTGCAGTCGAAAAGGACAGACAGACAGACAGTAGCGCTGAATAGCGCTAATAACGGGCTCCTCGAATGCACTGTTAAAGTAATATGATATGAAAGATGATAACAATGTATTGATTTGTTATATGATTTATTGAAAGTTTTTGATTTATGAAGATATAAGGTGTCAACAGTGCAAAATTGTTATCATTAGTTAATTTACGTTTACAAACGTAAGTAGAGACAGTTCCAGGTTAGAAAACTATTAACTGTTTTAGGTTAGAAAATATATGAGTGTTTAAATAAAGACTATAATTGCGTCAAATAGGTAAAGGTTCTTTTCAAGTGTTAAAAAATTTGTAAGTCTAATTGATATATACAATTCAATCAAGATTAAGAGCACACACCAGTCAGATTGGTAAATTTTGTCAGATTGCAACAACAGTTGCAAAGCAGCTTTCTCTGTTGAACGAAGTCTATATTTCAGGTAATATCCTGGTAAAAGGATGGCTTCGGTTGTGAAAAATGTTAAGAATAGAATACCAGCAATACCAGGTACAAAACCTTCGATAAAAAACTCACAATTACTCATATCAACAGGAATACCTTCTTTGGATCACATGATAGGTTTGTCAATATGTGTTATTCTTTTCCTTGTATATGGATGCAACTATATCTTCACAATCTTCATTATTTCCTTTTAGGTGGAGGCTTACCTATTGGCTCAATATTTGTAATTGGTATGTATCTGAATATATTTTATTGTATTTAAATAATATATTCAATACCTAAGTTACATGTGTTTATATGTAATCAAAAATATTTATTTTATCTTTGCAGAAGAAGACAAGTATGGTCTATATGCAAAAGTCATGTTAAAGTACTTCATGGCAGAAGGAGTAGTTACTTCTCAGCCTATATTGATTGCATCGCAAGATGTCCAGCCTTCCAAACTAGTGTCAGAATTGCCTGCTGTTATAAATGATTCAAACTTACAGACAGAAGTGACAAGTGCAGAACATATGAAGATTGCTTGGCGTTACCAAAATATGAAAGCGGTAGATTCCTCTCCTACAGGAAGTCAAGTGTTTGGTCATTTCTATGACCTTACAAAATCGATGCAGCAGGAGCTCCTAGAGCAAGCGTATATACAAGAGTGGCATCAGGATAACTTGCAAGGGCAGAACAATATGTTTGAGAACATTGCTTATGCAGATCTGTTACACACCATACAAGAAACTCTGCACAACGGGAAATATTCTGTGGACGCAACGCCAGAGAAGAGAAATATTTTAAGAATTGCTATACACTCTCTGGGATCCAGGTTGTGGCTCTGCGACACAACGGACTCTTCCAATCGTGATTTATTGAAGTTCCTTTACTGTTTGAGATCACTTTTAAGGAACTCCTATGCAGTTGGCCTAATAACGATTCCAGTTAACAATTTTGATACCGTAAGTCCCGGGAACTTTCCAAGTAGAAGGATGACGTCAAATAGCGTATTGTTAGAGACGTCATTAGGACGTAATTTGACGTCATCTTTGCTGGGTTATCTTTATTTTAACGATCAATTTTACAGCGTATACTTTCCAGAATCTCGTCACTGAAAGAATCGAGCACATGTCGGATATAGCAATTAAATTAGAATCGTTTGCAGGATCCGCAAAAGAGACCAATCCGTTATTTAAAGATTATCACGGCCTCTTTTATATCAACAAATTGTGCGCGTTAAATACATTGGCGCCTCAATGTCCACAATTCAGGGATCTAGCATTTAAATTGCGCCGTAAAAAGTTTCTCGTAGAAGTTAGTTGATATTTTAATTTACTTACCGCAGATACCGAATGATTGATGGCAATTCTAATATTGTCCATTTATTTTGTTTTTTTTCAGATCTTACATTTACCACCTGAATTTGTGGATACGGCGCAACGAGAACAAGATGACGTTATAACTTCGAGCACAGGATGCGGATCTGGTAAAATTAAATTCGATCTTTTTTAGGTCTTATTAAATTTTGTACCAAATTTAATATTCAGTAATAATATATATATTTTTTTATCTAAGTCCTTGTATATTTTTTAATAACTCTTATTTCTTACCTGGTTCTATCCTGATGTTTCATCTATAACTTATTCTATAATTTATAAATTAAGTTAATTTGTTAAGATCACTCTTATTTTTACGTTTTGCGACTGTTTCGTACGAGCAAGTAGTAAATCGGATTTTTACGCACATGTTGGCTACGCCTATCCCGTTTAACGGGAAATGCATGGTGTGGCGGCTGAATTAATGTAGACAAGAGGAGATAGGCTTCGTGCACACTTACAATAATGCGTATGAAATATCTTTTTACCGCGTTACACGGTGTACGAATTCAACCTGCAGGTCGATTTGCATTAAAGAAAAATAATTTTATAATGATTTCGAGCAAACCTTTGACGTCATAATGTAATGATTATTTATAACTGTCTTCTTATAGAAATGAGAACGACGTGAAGAGTCTCAAGAGTCTCTGCAGAAAGTTTTATTTTTATTTGTTTTTAATTATTAGAGTTTTCGCGGAACTTAGACAGCTCTATGTTAAATTAAATGAAAATATACTAAAGTAAAATTTAACTATAAAACTGAAAATTAGATTAAGATTAATAACAAGCTTAATTCGAAAGATCTACGTTTGTGTGTGCGTGTATGTGTATACGATGACGATTTTATTAATTTGTTCTCGATAAATTTTTACAGCGTTATTTTTTTCTATTGTTTTTTCCATAACTTACTGATAATAACTTACTGATTTTTAACAACAAAAAACAATAGTTTATATAAACATATAAATATATAAACATATGCAGAATGTCCATCGTAATGGTATTCACTATTTTTTTCCAATTACAACAATTGGATAGGAAAAAATTCTAGATTAATCAGTTGATACATAATATTTAATAATTAAGTAGTTTTTAAAAATGGCAATAAGATGCAGTAATAAAAATTTTAAAAACGTAAAAAAAAGAATCACACAAGGTTATTTTCATTTTCTTTAATAGAATTATATCTTTTTTATCCGTAGTATTGTAAAAAGGATCAAAACAAATTTAATAATAAATCATAATATTCTTTTTACTCTCTAATATTTAACTGTGAAAATACAGACAAAAGAGGTACAGTAATATTTAAAATACAATATAATGAATAATGTTAAACGCTGAGGACATATCCAAACATAATTCATTTTTTGCAATATAGAATTACGCCCTTTGATAGAGTTTTATATGTCACTTCAGTTATTTTGATTTATGTTTCTGCATGCTTATGTTATACGTTGTTGAAACTTTCTCTTATTATTTTACTGTAATCTTTTTTGCTATGAGATAGCAAAAGATAATACTGAAGTACTGTTTAATTTATTTTAATTCTGTTTTATTGAAACACTGCGGATAAAAATATGATTCGCTTTAAAAATATGAAGGTAACCTTGATTTTTTTATGAAAAAAAATGTTTTCGAAATTTTTATCGTTGCATTTAATTGCTACTTAAAATTGCATTTAGAGTTTTTCCTGCTCAATCATAGTAACTGGTAAAAATATAGTGAATACTATTATAGTAAGTACTCTGTATATAAATAAATGTAAAATATATGTATCATGTATATATATAAACATATATAAATAAATATTTTCGAAGAGTATAATAATCTATAATATAAAATTTATTTATGAAATTTCTTAAATGCGTTCTGAAAAAGAGAATGCGAGATCATCATTGGGAAAGGAAAAGCCAGCATTCTCCATTACTTTCTATCCATCATTTTAAGTAAGCATACATATTTTGACCTAGAGAAGTATTCATCACACTCTGTACAACGTGTCCAATTATAACGAGTGAATTATCCGTGTAATAGTGCTTATTATAAATAATAAAATCTTCATATAATTACAAAAGGAAAAAATTTATATATGGATCATATCATATATATTTATAATCATATATAATTATAGTATATATATATATTTTTTCTTTTTTATATGATTATATATATGAACTTTTTTTAAGGGATACGTATTCGTTGTTTACATAGTGATATCTCAAACATAGTTTATGTTGCTTACACGTAACATAGGCCCGTATTAATAGTTGTTATTTGAATCTTGTCTTATGTAAGATATTTAGATTTTTATTAAGAGTCAAATCCAAAATTTTCAATTGAATTATGTGATATACGCGACATCTGCAATCATTTAATTCAATCAAATTATGTTTTCCTTTTTTTATGCAACAATATTTGTTTTATTTGTATGGACATATATAATTAAATATGGTCATATGTAAAGTCACATATATGAACAAAATTCATATATAATTATATATAAACATATATATATTTTTTTTATATCATTATATATGAACTTTTTTCTCGGGATTTTTAAATGGTCGATAACATGTAAAAGAATGTTTGTGTGTGTGTGTGAAGATAACAAAATTAAAATATTTATGCTACTTTATATGAGCACAAGAGAGAAATGTAGCAGCCTCATAATTGAACCGAGAGAATAATATATGGGCAACGAATGAGCTTTAGCGAAAACGTGAGCGAAAGCGTATCGCACATACGACCGAACGAGAGCGGTCATCATCTGCTGCTGAAAGTTCCCCTCTTCGTTAAGTGAACCTTCACCGGGACAAATCGTACGTGAGTCGATCACCGGTGCAAATGTTCGTGCAGAAAACTTTTTATCCCCTCTCGTTTTCCATCCACACCTTTCTACTTCCTTCCGGTTCCGTCCGGTCGGTCGCGCATGAGGGCACGCAACGCAAGCGCGACTACGGATGGCAGAAGTGTTCCTACGGCACTGCGAAGTCCAGCCACCACACACGAGGGGTTTTCAGTCCGCGAACAAACGCGATCGGAACCACTTCGAAAATCGAGCAGTCTGTGACTTCAATGACCTAGTCGCGCGCGCGGACCAAACGATTATGCGGTGCGCGGCAAGTGTTTCTCGAAATTTTATGTGACAAGAAGTCGTCGATCCGCAGAAATCGTTCATTGCTGACAATTGTCTCAAGCACGTCTCGGAACGCCACCATGAAAAATACAAAAGTGCTGCCGTCGCGCGCTTGCGTTTGTTGCACGAATATCATTTTCTTGGTAAGTTATTCTACTGCGTCTAACTATACATTTCAGATACATTCATTAAATTTATATTTGATGAATTTAATGTTTAATTAGATAATTTAGTTAAGTGAAACTTTAACAAATTTATTTAACAATTCATTTAACAATTTTATTTAACGAATCTTAACTGGTAGCGAGATTTTGGAAAATATATTTATTTGTTATAAATACAAATTAAATATTCGAATATTGAACGTTATATTACATGAGAGCTGTGTGAACAATCTTGAAAATATTGATGGAACTTATAGAGGAATGTGACATTTCTTTTTCAGGTGTCGGGTTTCGTGTTGATATTATTGGGAGGATTGTTGTTGGCTGATAACGAACGAATTTTATTGTCGCGTCTGCTAGGAGCTGGTGACATTTATCCTGATCAACCACTCTTCTATTATTTGGCTTTCGCTTTAGTCGCATCAGGATTTCTTATCGGACTCCTCGGATTCTGGGGAGCTTACCTCTATGATAATTGCTGCTTCACAATCTCCGTAAGATCTAAGCATCGATATAAGTTCATAGTGTCTTAGGTATATTTTTTGTTGACCTTACTTTACTTTACAGCTCCATCCGAGAATATTTCATATTATCCGAAAGCAGAGCACGCTGTCGCGCTTGAACTAAAGATTAAAGTGTCTCGGAAGATCTGTAGAATTATTTGTCATAGTTTGTTCTCAACGCTATGACTTTAACAGCACTTTCGTCATAGTTTGTTCTCGTCGCTATGACTTTAACAGTGTCGTGTATGCCTAATCATTGTAATCAGGCTTACTTATACGATGTTCAATCTTACATATTTATGCATAAGATAAAAAATCGTATAAGTAACCTTAATTACAATAGTAATTAAGACCATATGACACAGCGTGTGCCAAGCAACAGAATACAATAAACATCATTTGCGGATCTTTTTCGTGTATTCTTATGTAGAACAGATAGCTCGTTCAAAATCAAAATATTTTTCTTTCTATGCCGGTGGCTTCAGACGCGTTAATAATCAGTTTGATTTACATGTTCCCTTGTGAATCCAACGCGATACGTTTGTTCATAGAACCTATCTGAAACCAGATTTCCTACTTTAGACTCGGTCACGCGTCGTTGCGCGGAAACGGATCCGTTCGTACGTAGACACGCGGGTAAATAGAAGGAGGGCGCGTTCGAGTGCCGCGTAAAAACACTAATTATGCGCTCGTGGACAAGCTAGCGTGAGTGTTAGTTTGCCGAGAGAATAAGTGGCGAACGACCATTGTTCGTAATTTCTTTTTCTCTCTTGATAGAATTAACAAATCAATTGAGATAAACGTATCAAGTCTCCGTTATATGTATCTCTAGATATATATGTATCTCTAAATAAGAGATATATTTCTTTTTCCACTATATAGACATTGAAATATTATCTAACTGTTTACGCATTTAGAAAAAGTGGACTATTCGTGAACTGAGATATTTGCAACTAAAGTTGGTACTTTATGTATGTGTTTCTGTATATATGTATGTGAAGCTAACCTACTACTTTTAATCTTATTTTTTATATCTTTTAACACATGCAAGATTTTGAAGAGCTACTATAATATTAATATTAATATTGACATATTAATATAATACTAATATAATAATACTAATATAATAATACTAATATAATAATATAATACTGATATAATATACAAACATTATACAGAAATATTTCAGAATTATTGATCATTTTGTTTTCAAAATATGACGAGAGGTAGAAAGTTCATAATTTATAATAATACTTTATATTATTATATACTTATATAATAATAATAATACTTGAAATAAAAATACATACACATATTTAAATATTTATATTCCTTTTTTATTATTGCATATCTCTACTAGATCAACTGATGCACAAATGAAACATTAATAAGAAAAATTAAAAAATATTTTTTTATTTGTGATATTGTGGATACATCCATATCAATTTTATCTCTAATTGATATTTATTACCTAGATAATGAAATAAGAAAACGTATAGAAACGTATTTTTATTCGATAGTAAAATAGTAAATTTATAAGTGATCCCTTTGATGCGCCACGGAAAATACAACACTGCGCCTTGTATCTCCTTAAATATGAATATCTAAACTTTTAACATAAAGTATATGTACATATTCAATATATGTGCTGATATTTTTATATTAAATGTTTAAATATTCATATTTTAAAACCAAAAACAATTTCCACGTATTAGTACTTTTATTTTAGTTAACACAGTTGTTGATGAGGTAAGAGTAAAGGCAATCAGATTTACGGAATTTAACTCATACAAATAATTTTATTGTTTAATAATCTCTTGTCCGTAAATCTTGCATCAAATCAGTGCTGACTGCAGAAATATGCGATTTCACAAAAATATGTAATGTACTTTACATAGATCTGTCCTAGTAAAGGAAAAATATTATATCATCCTGAAATTGATTGATTGTACCTTTTAAACGTTTTGATATTCTATTTTTAATATTTCAAAAATATTTCAAAGGTAATATAATCCTGAACTAATCCTAATATAATCCTAAACTCATACCTCTAAAGGATGTCATGTGGACATACTGAGGACGTCCTTATGTTTTCAGGATGTCTACAAAACGTCCTCAAAACATCTCTTAGAAAGTTTGTGCTGTCTTTTCGAATATTACAAGAATATTTTGAAATATGTAAATATAAGTCGAACTTACTCATTGTGATGTTGATACAACATTAAAGAACATAATTAGAGACCAAGAAGCTATAAGAGCCAAATGTAAGGTTAATATGCATAAAAAATTTACAATTGTCAATATAACTAAAATATAAATTAAATGTAAATAATCAGTACGTTAAGAACTAGGACAGTAGTGTCATTGTTCTAATATTTAATATACTATTATACGTTTGCAAATATCGTTGCAATAATGTTCGATCAATAATTTGTTGCTTATTAGAGTATGTATAACCATAAAACGAAATAATTGAAAATTATAAAATTAATCTTTTATTATAAATTAAATGTTTAAATAGTTATATCAAATGTGGCAGAAATGGTCGATAATATTATCCTTCAATCATTCCCAAGCTCTTTCAGGCCTTTTTGTAGTCACAAAAATTTACCTAACATTGGCAGTCTCTAATAGTAAATTGTTTGTGACACGATATTTGCATAGTTTTTGACATTAATTATAACATTAAGGAAAAATAAATACGAGGGAATATTAGTCAAACAGCACAGATCTCCACAGGACATTTTACAGACGTTCTGAGAATATATCTACGTCCTGAGAACGTCCCCAGAACATCCTCTGAAGATCTTATGCTGTCTGGGACAATTAACACGCAAGAAAAATATTATTCAAAAGTAATTGAATGATTCAGGATCAAATTTTTGTATTTCACTGTTTTTCAGTATCTTGTGACAGTAATCTTACTTTTCCTCGGCGAATGTACCATCTGTATCATTGCGATGTTCTGGCCTCAATTGCTGGGAATCGATGTAAGGCCAGCACGTTTAATACGCGCTTTGCAACGTAGTTATGCTGTGCCTGGCCGTGAGCAATTCACAGCAGCCCTTGATCTGGCACAAACAACAGTAAGTTTATTCGAAATCAATGTTCACGATCATCACACATAGCGCAAAAATATTACGCTAACATTAAACTTATGAAACTTTTAATTATATTGCTAAAGATGGTAGCGATGTTATCATGATCTTAAAACGTTACTTTCCGGGACTTTCAATAAACCTTAAGCTCGAATATTAATATAAGGTTCTTTGTTTAATTCAAGGTTGCTTTGTGGTTAAACTAACATCATTTCAATATCTATCAAAATATTTTAAGCTGATGTTGTAGTAGTAATAACATAGAGAAAATTATTATAACGTTGTATTTTCAAGCAAAGTAATTTAATTCATCGCGATATTATAGTAATAGTAATATTGGTGTTATATAGAATACATCTTCATTGTAATGTTCATCTTCATACATCTTCATTCTATTTCTGCGCTTTGTTATTTGTGGATTGAATCAGATAAACAGTTTAGTTCTATTTTTTAGTAAAATTTGATTTTATTGCATTCAGTTGAAGAAACAAATCATTTATCAACAAAATAATAGCCGTCATTGTCGACGAGGTCTCGCCAATGATTTGGCAAACAATCGAGTCGATTTTTTTGACTGACTCAATGGGTTCTTATTATAGGAGTTATATTGTTTGTTGCCATTGTAAACATTCGCCAGACAGTTGATTTGTATCAGGAAAAATGAAAGAATCTCTATCGTCGTGACCATTACAGTTCTCCTGTTGCGGCATCAACGGAAGCAACAATTACGGCACATCGTGGTGGCGGCTGCAGGAAGTCGGCCGAAGAGAATTAGTAGTGCCTCTCAGTTGTTGCACCCTGAATAACGCCAATGAGACGGACTCCTTCCTCAACCCCGTGCCTGCCAATCTCACTCTCTGCCAGACTCTGAACCCTGCCGAACATCAATACGCCCGACATACAGTGGTATGCTGCGATATAATAAGGAAGTTATTATTTCTCTGTGGTACCCCGCTGTGGCGGACACACGCGCGACCAACTTTTCGAATCGACTCGCACAAATATAAATACGCAAAGGCCTTCATATCGAAGCAAGTGCTTCTTAAATATAGAATATCGACACATTGCCGATATTGACAGGATTGGCATGAAGCACAGCGAAGCTGCTACTGCTCTCTCCCTCTCTCTCTCTTTCTATAAGCATAGCAGAAAGCAATGCGTTTAATATTTTTATCCTATTACAGTCGCGAGAGCATGCTTTGAGATGAATCGAATAAACGAGCAGCGTGACGCGACGATGCTCGAGAAACGCGAATTTTATTTCCACTCCGAAAACCGTAGGTTCTCATTCCCCCGAGTGCAATATTCAGCATTCAGTTCGGATTTTTCGCGCTTTGTTCGGAGACGTTTACGATAAAGCCGGCATGTCCTCGTGCGCGAATGCTAGAGGGGGGGAGGGGGAGGACAATCGTTCGCTGGTTAACAGCCTTTGTCTCGCCTACTAAAGCTCCATAGGAAGACCAAGGCTGAGAGCGAATTTATTCGAATGCGGGTGGTCGACGGTAAGATGTTCTTTTATTTTTTACACACCTCTTCTTCGATTGTTAATTGTATTCCTGTAACAAAATGTTGAATTACATTAAGGTAAAATTACCAATCCCGTGATACGTAATCTAGCACATTCTTATTGTTTTGGTCTTTAAACTCTCAACATAGAATATATATGTACATATTCGATATATGTATATATATTGTATATTGTTAATTTAAATATTTAAAGAATATAAAAAGTAATAAGAATGTGTTTAGAGTTAGGTACGTGTCCAGGCATTGGTACCTTCCTTTATTTAAGAGGATGTCATACTTGAAAACTTTATCAGCAAAAAACTGACTCTTTCTACAAAGTTTACGTTATATTAGTTAACACAAAATTACAAACGTTTTTGCACAATGCATATGCAAAAATGATTTAAAGTATTTCTCTCATATGTGACGAAAATAAACAATTTCAGAGTTGAAATTTAATCATATATGATTTGAAGTTTTTATAGTCATATATTATATAAAATTAAATCATATATGACTAAAATTTATAATTTTTGGTGAAAAATTATTGAATGTCATATTTGAAAACTTTACAAAACAAAACACTGACTATCAAAGTTTACATTGTATTGATTAGACAGAATTATAAATGCTTTTACACAATGATAACACGTGCAAAAATGGATTACAATATTGTTCAATATGTGAGAGAATCGATACAAAAATTCGAAATTGAGTTGTCAGTTTGTTCAATTGAGTGTCAAGTTAACGTAAATATTATACTGATATAAAGTTTCTGCAGTTTATATATACCGAAATGTATGTTTGCTTCGTTCAGGAAAATTTCAAAAAATATTGTTGTACTTTTACAACTAAATTTAGAAACTTAAAAATATGTGAAAAGTTTGCAGAAAGATTTCTTTATATGCATGATTAAGTTAGGTTTTCCTAAAATAATAAAACAGAACAGCGCACATTTATATGAGATCTATATGTACATGAAATACGAAAATGATCGTGTCAGTGCTCATTTGACATGACATTTCACCAATTGTGTCAATGAACATTTTTGTAGTTCATAATCCACTTTAGCACCCCTTTAATGCCGATTACTATACAGTTACTATACTATTACTATACATATATACTATATATATATACCCTGCATTTTGTTTGTTTTGCATTCAGGGTTGCCTCGAGCACATTGAGAAATGGATGCAGAATCAGTTGCTGATTCTTTTAGCTATCATATTAGCCATTATGTTCGTCGAAGTCATTGCGCTTCTCAGCGTGCTGCTTGCTTGCTCGCGAGAGAAGAAGAAAAGTAAATCGCAAACGTCGACTTTTACCTCTACGCAGACTCTGAGCCCATTCACGGAAAGTGATCATGATTTCAGTAAGAGATGAAAAAAACCCGAGCAAAAAACTGTTTACTAATATTCCAGTAAATAAAGAAGATTAGATGCCTTTTAGTTCTTTAGATCGACGTACTGAAAATGTTGATTTTATATATATTTCTTGAACGTTTTTATCTAATATTTCAAAGTTATTTCAAAAATATTATCAGGTAACATAAAAATAGTTCTAGAATATTGTAAAAATATTTTAAACAAATTTAAATTATTTTTATAATAATATTAATACAACGTTGAAAACTGCGTATTAGAAAATGTTACTCGCTATCGAATATCGTTGCAATAACTTTCTATCAATGATTTTCTGTATTCACTGGATATATTATTAAAATTCATTATTTCTCATAGTATATCGATGTGATATTTGTGACATAGATTTATAAAATCGATTGTGCAGTCTTATAGATTAATCATGATTTTTCTTTGAGCACTTTAAAGCGTTTGCAACGTCTAGTGAATCGTATTCACAGTGAAAGAAAGAGAGGACGCATTGATCATATGATCGCTTCTCTTCCTTTGTCCTTCTCACCAACTAGACAATTAGACAATAAAAACATTTTACTCTCTGCTGTCCTCTTTTACTAATACTGATTTCATCTCTTGTATAGAAATGCACAATCTATTCTACATGTCTATGTATTTGAGGCTTATATGATGTGAAGAAATAGATTTGTTTCCGACGTTTCGTGAACACTCTCAAGTTCATTTCTTCAAGCTAGAGGAACACTTGAAACAGTCGCGGAAACAAATCCCCGAAGGGTGCGGCACTAACATGAAAGACATATCGACAACATCGATATGTTTATATAACGCATAATTTCATTTTTAGGCATAGGAATTGAGAACAGAATACATACGGCTGGAACGACGTTCGGAGCCAAGTCATGAAGATGGCTGGAGGGCGGCGAAGGACGAAAGGCTATTGACAAGGATACGAATACGCGAGAAGCTACGTGCGACGATTCCAAGTATAGCGTAATAGCACCGAGCGGCAAGAGCATAATTGAGGAATGGCGAAACCCTCCCAAGTACACCGAGGATCTGTTACGAAGCGACCGAGCATACGAAGAGCGTGCGATCGACGTTGTGATCGGTCGTCCTCAGGATTTTACGAAAAAATTTCCGCAGCGCTCGCCGCGGCCATCGAGGGTTAAAAAGGACGAGGCAAACGGCAACGACGACAAGCTGATCAAGATCAAAAGACCCCAAGGCGGCGGTACGGTCAGAAGCATCCCCATCAAGGATTACCAAGCTTCAATCGCGCACAACATCGGAACACTAAGGCGATCAGTGGCACCACAGTTACAATTCGAGTCTCTCGTCTCCGAGCCGGAGAGGAGCGTTTACATGCCGTCGAAAAGGCGAGTCCCTGTAATCGGTAACCTCCACCACCGAACCCCATCTCAGGCCACATGCACCGCCTCGCAATTAGAATATCAAGGTGACGCTCCGAGGAAGCTATTCTGCCACTTTTGCGATAATCAGCGCGACTGTTACTGCGTTGATATCAATGAAACGGACAAGGATACCGAGGACAATCAATATTTCAGCAAGATAGAAGAGCAACGGGACGGCTCCGACGTAGACGAGTATTTCCGCAGGAGTTCCCGAAGGAGATTCGAGTCGAAAGATCGCCGTACCTCGAAACGCATTCCTCCGCGAGGAAACGCGACCACGATAGCAGTAACTGACATGGAGAACGACAAGGCTGCGGCACAGGCGTCTCAGTTAGGGGAAGGTCACGTTGGTCAGAAGATATCCGCTTATGAGCAGAACGCACGGCGTAGCCTGCGTAGTGCAAACCCCAAGTATCGATCGGTCTTCGAAGTGAAGGGACACCGGGCTGTTGGCGTACCGTTGGTAGGTATGCACAACGCCTGCGGCTTACCCGTTGTGGCGACCTGGCAGGACCATGAGATTCTAGAGCCTTTGCGTTTAAGCCGCAGGATAGTGGGTACCTTAGGACCCATCTACAAAAGTCCTCGCACGCTTCCAAACGTGCGACGACGAAACCAGCCGAAGAGAAAGGCGCCACAGCCGGATCGCACGATGATCATTGCGAGAGACATCGATCGTAACGTCAAAAGATCTACGATTAAATCGGTGGCGCATTTGGATGCGATTAATG